TTTATTACAAGCTGTAATTTAATGTTTTAATACAAATATTCACTAAACTGTTATTTTATATAAATAATTTTATTCACTAATAAATGAATATTAATACAAAATCAAATAATTTTACTGAAAATAGTTAATTACAATTTGTAATAAATCTCAACTTTTAAACATATAAGTATGAATTTCATAAAAAGTACAAAAAATTTTGCATGTTTAAAATCATACCCCATGTAAAAAATTTTGGTTAATAGATACCTGGACATGTCATATACCAAACAAAATCCTAACTATTCGGCTACTATTTGGTAATAAATATATTTAAATAAACTGCATGGCATTAAAATTATTTTAATTCAAAGTAGGGGAGTCATTTAATGTCATCCCTGTAGTATTAACCAATATGTACTGTATATGTATGTTATAATTATTTGATATGTTAAGTTAATATTATGTTAAGTAATTAATGTTAGAATCTATTTTATAGTATACACAGTAATAAAGTTTTATAGATATTGTAAAATGAAATAAAAATTATTTTTATTTATGTTACCTCTTGATAGCCTAATAAGTGGTATAAATTTTCTGGTCACCCGAATCACACCAAACACATTGACATCAAATGTTTTGGTGAACTCATCGAAAGGACCCCATTCTATGTGACCGTATGTCAGAATACCCGCGTTGTTGACCACTGCCCACAACACACAACCACTGGTCTGTAGGTCTGACTCAACCAAATCATAGCATCTGTCAATTTGGTCCTCTTTTGTGACATCCATTTCCATAATACAAATATTGTCCGCAAACTTGCATTTTGTTATCAAGTCCTGAGCGCCGACACTGTTTTTGCTCAAAACGGTCGCATAGACTCTGAATCCCAATTCATTTAATCTAAACGCCAGTCGATTACCGAAACCAGAATCACAGCCTAATTGTTAAAATATTTGATATTTATTACGGTAAGAAATAATGTAATATAATACTGAATAATTATTGCACATTTTAAGATAATATAAACTTAAAGATAAAAATCTTAAAACAATTACCAGTTATTAAAACAGCTTTGTTTTTAACATTAATTTTACGCCAAAACATTGTATTTTATACTAGTTATATATTTTATAATTTTATTATACTTTTGAGAACATTAAAAATTGAAATTTAAAAATTTACAACATTTTACTTTAAACATTTTCATAGTTACAGCCTACTTGACTTTATTTTACAACTTTAAAAATATTTGATTGCAAATCAAGGTAATAATAATCTTACAAATGAAATATCACAAACTTATAAGAGGTCTGTAATATATAATTAACAAAGCATGATTTTTTATTAGTATGTATTTAAATTATATAAATGGAAAGTTCCAATATGTAAAAACAAGGTACTGGTACTGGTATTAGCAAAAACGGGATATGTTTTCAAGTTTAAACACTTTGTATATTAAACTTTTATCTTTAAAAATGTTCATTTAATAAACTAATCGGTGTAATTATTTGTAATGTTAATTTGACTATCTTACATTTATAACTCAAAAGTTAAATGATTATGTTTTTTTGTGTTTTAATGTTTTCTGGGGATTTCAATGGAAAATACCACTCATATTTAGCGTTAATACCGGTGCTATCGGTGCTGGTGTTTCTCGGTTTTGCAATGAGCTCATTCAATGTTCATTAATATTTAAGCTTTTCAAATATAATTCAAATCAAATGATATTGAATTGTCAGGTTATTGAATATAATTTATATAATTAAGCAATAATTCATAATAAAAAGAAACTTGTAATGCTTTTATTAGCCTTCAATTTTTTTGTTATACCTAGTTACGAAAACAAATATGTTAATTTTTAAAACATTTATATAATTATTCCTTAGATTATTAATTCAAAGTAATATTCTTTTATGGCAAAATTATTTAAGTTATTTAAGACTTTTTAAAAGGTGAATATATAAATGTTTTTAAAATAAGTCTTGAATATAATTCTTAAGTAAATAGGTGTACTGTACTATACATGATATACATGGTATTTCCTAATTCGTAAAGTTTTTCACATGAAAACTAATGTTTAATTTTACTACCAAAGTACCTTTAAAAAAATTACCTAATGAAATTCTATCTATTAAAATAAAGTAATAAATTTTCAATAAAATAATTTAATAAATGTTACATAATATAAAGTTAATTACAGCATAATACCCATAAATAAAGTAAAATTATATTATAATAAATTACAATAAAACAGTGAATTAGTTATAAATTTACAACAATTTTCTTCCTTCACTCTCATTAACAGTGTCTTTACTTTCCATAAACACAGGTATGAGACCATCGGTTGCATAGAAATACCTGTCAATGAAAAACTGCGGTATAATCGACACAAACCTAGCGGCTAATGAGGGTAGGAGTCCATTGACGGGCCGGTAGTACCGGTTGGGACGCCTACTGATGACCGCA